TGTTTTCCCAATAATAACTCATCATGGTACATCTTGAACTTGAACCCATTAATTTCACTTTCCATCTAGATTCTGAAAATCGTTTTAGAGAATTGCTTTTCGCAAATTAGGCCTTGATATAAACAAGATCATCTGTAATTTTACTATTTACCCATCCTCGTTGCAGCATTCCATTCTCAACCGAAGACATCTATATGGCGCTTCCTGAAATAAATCCCTCGCTCAAAGAACTCCCAAAGTTCTTATCTGAAAACCCATCCGTGATGCTTCAGCTGCAGCAGCCAAAATGAGGAAATGATGACTTCACAGTCCCTGTCAAGTCTCTTGCTTGTATTAGCGATGTAAATTTATTGCGATTATCTTTCCGATCTCATCCTTTTGACATTTAACATGCACAAAGCGAGCCCACTATGAGATTTTGGAAGGCGGGCGAAAAAGAAGAGTTACTCCGTCCACGTCGATCTAACGGGAAAGTCTTAAAGAATAGTAGGTTCTGGTGATTGTACAGTGTGTATGGAATCCACTCCACTTTTAGTAACTTGTGCAGATGGTATGTGAATCTTGCCTTGCTTCTCTGCTTTGTTTTAAGGTCATTCCCATTTCCTAAACATTTAAATTGTATTGACATCTATTGTAATTTTGAAGATTTCGATGCATTAATGAAAGTATTTTTTTTCTCATTCTTTACCACAAATTATAATGAAATGTGGATTCTTTGTTTACCACAAAAATTCAAGTTCATTGTCTTTTGAAAAGTGGATTGTCTTGGGAAAGAGAGAAGAACAAAGTTTGAGATCTTGATTTCATGAAGTGTTATATTATTCTAGTGTTCTTATCTACTTTATATGTATGTGTGTGTGTGTGTCTATATATATATATATATATATATATATATATATATATATATATATATATATATATATATATATATATATATATATATATATATATATATATATATATATATATATATATATATATATATATATATATATATATATATATATATATATAT